GCCCTGGGGGCTGGTTTGCAGCTGGCAGCGAGCTGCTGCTCCTCTGGGCTTTTATTCAGGCAAGCACTCAGCACGGACTTGCGTCCCCTTGAAACCCCACAAAGCCAAGCACAGGATTACACTCAAGCACAACGTGAAAGTGCTTTTTTTTCTGAGCAAAAAGGGGGGGGATCCTAAGCACAAACCCAGTTTCTTCCCAGAGCTTTGAGGGTCTTCAGGAAGGCAGGCGAAGGGGCCAGGGCACACCGCTGGCACGAATGGGCTTGTTAACCCGGGCCGAGGTGTCTCGGCTGCCTTGGGCTCGGCGGCAGGAGGTGCTCAGCGCCGATAACTGCTCTTGAAGCCAGCAAGCCCTGCTCGCGGGTCGCACCTCGCACTCACGCTGCTTTGCTGATGGCCCAACCTCTGTTCCACGAGAGCTGGCAAAACGTCTGCCATTCCCCTGCCCTAGAGCATGCTTTCATTATGTCTTAATGAATGTAGCACTGCGTGTGTCCTGCCAAGGGAAATGCAGAATTTATATCGTTAGAACGTGAAGAGAGTTTATAGAGTGAAAATAAATCTTGAAGAAATGTATCTGACAAAGTTTATTTTTTATGTAGAGAGGCGGTGCTTTGTAGTTCCTGGTGGCCTATGTCTGTTGTAAATAATGTATATTTAATTTATTGCTATGGTAGCAGATTGTATTTGTTATGTATAAAACTAAAGGTTCACAAATGTATATTTTGTTGCTTAACCGTGTCTTTGCAAAATTCACAATAAATAACATATTTTGTGTCCCTATGCGTGCTACTTTGTCTATGTCCATAAAGCGACCGAGCTCTTTGGGAACAGACGATGATCTTCGCATCCCTGTAAAACCCACGCGGCAGCGCGGGCCGGGGCTGAGCCGTTACTGGCGTGGATCTGGGTGAGCTCTCGTGGAGCCACAACGGGAAGCGGAGGCGTCGGCGCAGGGGGGTGTAAATTGGGGCATCTCTGCTGACGCCCGTGGCACTGGGACCGATCCGCAGAGGGGGACCCGGCTCCTCCTTTACGATTGCACAGCAGTTCAGTGAAGTGAGCTGTTCTGTTTGAACTGGGATTGGTGCCCCATAAAGCTGGGTATAAGCCGGTCCCTGTCAGCAGCCAGCCCACATGTGATAAAGCAAATAAACAGGCAGCAGCTGGGTTGGTCTGAACGAGCTTGGTTTACCTTGGCTCATCAGTCTCCTGCATCTTGGCTGCCTTTGGATGTCCTCCGTGAGCAAACTATGAAATTGGATTTTCTCTCTCCAGCTCCTCGGGCTCCTCTCAAATTCCCCTAATTTCCGGGGTCTCTCCCTCCCAGGAGGCTAAGAGAAAGGCTGGCATTGTTTGGAGGTGGCGTGTCTGGTACCTTCTCCCCAGGGCTCGGGCTGAACGAAGCACAAAGCTGTTAGCCAGCATTTGGTTTTGAACATTTTGTGACGAGGGGAACGAAGCCATTCGTCCGTACCTGTGAGAAGAAAACACCAGCGTTTGCCAGGGAAGAAAATTCCGCCACGAGGAGCGTTTTGTTCACCCTCAGCCTGGCTCGGGTGTCTGACACCCGTAGCCCCAGCTTGACGAGGCGGGGGATGCTCCAGCGGGTCTGGGGTCCCGGGCGGCTGCACCGGGCCTGGGGCACCCCCGGCCGGTCCCG